TACAGACATGGAAAGAAATGTCATTTGGCTACGTAAGCTTAGTCTACCAGCAAAAATTTGCCCCTCAAATGCAGGAAATACTAGTACATTTGTAGCATTTCAGAGGATCAAGATTTCAAAATTTTCTGGGGGGGGGCATGCCCCCCTCGACCACCCTAGGATTGTCACATTTGGCGCTTGACATGATGTAACATCAAACAAAATTGAGATGATGGAAAAAAATTTCAGGCTGGCCAGAACACTGATCCATTCATAAGCTGCAGCCCTCTCCGTGCTAAGGAGTTTCTGGAGTATTTCCTGATTGGTGCGTTATTAGGATGGGGCACACTGGATGGACTCAGAAGGGCCGTCAGAGTCGGAGTCAGAGCTGGGAGACGAGGAATCTTCACTGTCTGAGGCCTCCTCCTCACCTGCCTCTCGAGCCTGCAGGGACACAGCATCGTCAGCTGATTTACCTATTTATTCATGGAGGTTTCCTTGATTTATTTATGTCAGCTTTATTACAGAAATGTACATGTAAGAGGACAATGGGGAAACAGGAGATTTCCTTTGCGTATCCCAGTCAAAATTAAAACAACAAGAACACAAGATAAGTGCTAATACACAAGACTTAGTGGAGTCTACAACAAGAATTACATGAAGTAAATAGTAACAGCAAATAATTGACTGACTGACTGACTGACTGATTGACTGATTGATTTTCAAAATTGGCTTGGCTTACTTTTTCATCGAGGTCATGAGAGAAGAGGTCAGGGTCAGACAAAATATAACATACGGGTTACATGCTTGGACACAATACCGCCTCATCCACATACATAATATTATCCATTAACACATTTTAAATGTTACCTACTGCAGTGCAGGTATGCCCTGAAGCAGAATCTACAGGTTAGCCTCTACTCTAGCAAACTGCATGAAGTAGCCCCAGGCTATCAAATCTACAGGTTATAGGGAGAAGGTTACACTACAGACTCACCCTCCGCCGTGCCCGCCTGCGCAGGTGGTGCATGAGGAACCACAGCATGTGCCCGTCTATCATCTCAGGGTTGTGACGATTCTCCTCGTCTCGCTCCTTCTTGTTGGTCTTCACCGTCTGCAGTTGTTGATAACGGTGTACAGTCAAATTACACTTTCAAAGTATGACTTAACGGCACCGACAGCACAAACTTATAACGGAATGTGATCGTAACTGAATGTGTATTTGTTTCAGAGGTGGTTATAAGAGCTATACAGATACAGATACAAAAGCTGGTGTGAAATGCCAAAGGACAGATACAGAAGCTGGATTGTTATACCGAATGGTGGTTATACCGGTAATAGAGATACAGATACAGAAGCTGGTGTGTTATGCTGAAGGTTGGTTATACCGGCTATACAGATACAGAAGCTGGTGTGTTGTGCCAAAGGGCGATTATACAGGCTATACAGATGCAGATACAGAAGCTGGTGTGTTATGCTGAAGGGCGGTTATGTCCGCAATAGAGATACATACAGATCCAAAGTGACAGATCCCACTTACCGTCTTGAGCCCCTCCAGGTTTGTGGGTTCCTTGGCGGTCGGTGCCCAGACCTTGACATCGTGGTCCAGTCCACTGGTGGCCAGGACTGCGCTGCAAGGGTGGGGCTCCAGACAGTTCACCTACACGTACATGACATATTCTTATTTTTTTTTCAGCATGAAAATTCATCTGAATTAGTAAGATACATAATGAGAATTAAACTGTTCTCCATTACTCAAGAAAATTGACTCACCGGAATTTTCGACCAGTGCTGAAGTCACACGTGGGTACAGGTCACATGTCTACAGCACTCGGCTGATGAAGACTGAGTGATTCAGTCAAAGATTCTGGAGAGTCAATGTTCTTGAGTTGGAAAACAGTTCTCATTAAGACATATTCTTGACAATTTTTTCAGGACTGATACAGAAACTACAACATTTTTTTTTCCTAGGCCTTACCACTCCACCGTCGTCCCCCTCCAGGAACTGCACAATGTTGGCCGTCTCCTTCTCCCACAGGAAGATGTGTCCACAGTCGCTCCCGCTCACAACCATCTCACTCTGCGGGCCGTAGAAGTTCACTCCCTTCACTGCACACACAGAACATGGCTTTTATTGTTTCTTACAATTTCAAGCCAACATTACAGTTCTTAATAATAGTCTACGACTAGTTGGGTAACCCTTGCTGTTGTAAGCCAAAGTAATAAATAAATAAAAACAAACATTGGCAGAAAAGGACACAGTGTGCCTTCCCTGAATTACGCAAAGTTTGTTACAACAATGGTGTTTCACATAAGGTTGCAAAACATATTACTTAACATTTAAATTACATAGGCCTTTCCTAAGGACACAACGTCTGGCAAGGAATGCCAGGGATAGAACCCATGACCACTTGAAGTAGTGTCCACTAGCCTTGCCATCAGGCCATTTGATTTGGTACTACCCAGATATTACCTGTGGCATTGTTCCTGTGGCCCCTGAATCTCTTAATAAAATCTGCACCATCACTGTGAGTTGGGTCAAACAGGTAGATGTCCTCATCATTATAGCTTGCCAGCAGCTCTGAAAGGATGAAAAAAGCTTCTTTGAATATTTTTGAGAGCTAGGTGCACCGTTCTATTGACCCCACCTTTGCAGAGCACTCAAAAAT